TGTTAAAAATCGTACAAGTAAATGGTCTGATGGCCAAGCATTAGAAATTCTACATCCAAGAGTGCCACGTTCCAGAATGGTGGCAGCGGCTACACCAGATTCCAGAATGGCAGCGACACAGAGAATTTGCTCCTTAGAATTGGATTTAGAGTGCCCAGTAGTCCAGGCACTCAACCCCTATGGCCAAGAGAGAGGAAAGTTTGGCTACTGCTCCAGGTGACAGCAGACCTTGGCATCATCCATGTGGCACTGGCTTTAGGTGCATGGAGAATGCAAGAGTTCTGAGCTTAAAGAGGCTTCCACCCAGATTTCAGAAGGCCTGGGAAGCCAGGCAGTGTGCCTCTGAGAGGGCAGTGAGTGTGAAGCAAAAGGTGTACTGGAGACCTCAGAAGTTTAGAAAAGCCAGGACCGTGAATCATATGAGGAAAGCTGCAAGGAGGGAGCAAAGCAGGCCTAAGAGAGAAGCCGTGGGAGCTGCAACCACCAGAAGTGCCATAGGGGTGGACTCATGCAAGCCCTTTGGAGCTCTCACAATGTGCCACAAGTTGCTTCAGATGCTGGATGTGGAATTACAGGACATAATGTTAGCCCTGCTGGATTTTGGACTTGCTTTGGTCCCAGTGCTCTGTGTTCCCCTGTTTGTACCTTTTGGAATGGTAATGTTTATTTTGTGCCACTGAATGCTGGAAGTGTTTAACTTTTCATTTGTGTGGGGGCTTGTGACTAAAGAGTTTGCCTTACATCTTGGAGGAGACTTGGGCCTTGGACTTTTCAGCAATGCTGAAACTGTTGGCAACTCTTGCAGATGGACTAAATGCCTTTTGCATCAAGGGATGTGCATGAGCCTTTAGGGGGTGAAATGTTATGGTTCTAATGTAATATAATGTTTTTGTATCTGGAAAAAAAAAAGGAAATTCTACATCCATTAATTTTACATGACTAACCCCAACCCCTTCAAAATCTACCATCTGAGGCAGCCAAGATTCCCCCTCCAAGGCATAACATCCCAAGGGAAGTGTGCGTGAGCCACTTGAGCATAGTTCACTTTTCTGGTAGGTGCATTAAAAGCCATAAAAAGAAACCAGATAAAATTATTTCATGAATCTATTATATTGAACAATTTCCCAGAATATTACAAATTCAATGTATAATCAATATAAAAATTCATGAGATGTATTTATTACTTTTTTACACCAAATCTATAAAAACCTGTGTAAACATCAGCCTTGCAGCAGTTCTCAGTCTGGAACAGCCCACTCCATGCGGCCCCCACAGGTTGCAAAGCACAGGCCTAGAGCTTGTGGTGCCCATGTATATGACAGCCATGTGGACATGCATTTCAGAGTGGCTGGGTGAGGATGTGGTGAGACACTGTAGCATACAATGCTGGGATAGCAGCCAACCCCCTCAGATCTACTCACCTGGAGCAGAGTCGGGTCTGACCAGATAATATCTTTGGCAAGGATCACTCTATCCCACCCACTCTACATTTCCCAGACCTGCACCAACCTTCAAAACCTAATCAATTATATCTGATCACCAAAATCTGGATGAGTTAAATATTTCACTTATTGTGTACACTCAGATTTGCAGAAGATTCTTCTTGGCATTTGGCAGGGGATGGACCATGCATAAGTAGGTCCAAAGCACATATCTCAACAACAAGCACAAATTTCAATGTCAGGACACTGCCCTTGGCTTCCTTTAAACTATACTTAGAAAACTCCTAAATGCCAGGCTTTGTCTCAGGAAACAAGGTATCCTAAAGAATGAACTTTGTCCAGGTGAAGCTTACAGTTTAAGTGTGGAGGCAGGTACTATTGCACACACAAACTAATACATACATAAAATGCAGGTAATCAATACATACGTAAAATGTGCTAACCAAAGTCCACATCCCATCATGTAACTGTCTACCAGTCTCTTCACATGGCAAAGAGCTTCTCAAGGACAAAGAGAATGGCGAGAAGCTCCATCACTCCACCCTGGGCCTCTGGCGTGTGCCCCAGTGTGGAGGAACCACTCACTATTTGGCTGATGAATGAATGAATGAGTGAATGAACTCATTGAATTTAATGAATGTTTACTACAATACATGGTTGTTAAAAACCACTGACTGAATGGAATAAATTGAATGTAAAAGCGACTACAATATGTGACGGTTGAATGAAATGGGTTGCAGTGAATGATGAGTACATATAATAACACCCTATTGTTAGCCTCTGATTTTTCCAGATCATCCCTATGAAGCCCATAATCAGAATAGTTCCTATTCAAATCAGCTGCCAAGTTACTCACAGACATCTTCTCTGTGCCAAGGGATTTCTAGTGTTTGGATTCTGTGACGCTGCTTGATTTAATCTTGCCAGATGTTTCCAATATGTCACTGTTAGTGCTTTTATTTTGCTTTGCTTAGTTCCTAATTGAAGTGATTATAAGAGGACTTCGCTTCATTTTCCACCAGAATAGATCAGACCCTCTTCATTTCCCAGCTGTATTTACAAAATGGATTCCCCTCAGGCAACTGAGTATTCATTTAAATCCCGGTATTTGGATGACCCATAAAGGATCTTCAAGTTTTTCCTGAGGTTATCAAGACAGATATGCGTCGGTCTGTGATGCTTGGAATCTGTTTCTTTTCTTTTTAGTAGCAGTTCCCTGCTTTTCTTCTGTGTGGCTAAGTCCTTTCCCTGAAGGAAGAGGGATGGTATCATCTCCACTCCCATTGTTAGACAGAGTCATGCGGTTTAAGCCCCAAAGATTCCACCTATTTCTACTATAAGTCTAGGAGAAGTCCCATGACCTACCTTCATCCAATGAGACTGAACTTCAGGCCTATTTTTGGATCTTCAGGCCCACAGGGCACTCAGGGGCACTGAAGTTGTCTTGTATGCCCTCTCACCTCCTCTCTCCCCTCAGTCCTGTTCCCAGCCCAGAAGGCCAGACAATTTACTGTTATTTTACATGGACAATCTCACCTTTTTCTAACCAGAGCCTTCACTGAGTCTTTCTAGTGAAGAAGACACATTCACCCACATCTGCTGAAGCAGCATTACCATCCAGGCAGAAACCCGGTCACGGAGAGTGTAGAGGAAGGCCTGATTTCACCATTATAGCATTCTGATATCTGTCTTTTCAAGAACGTGTGAAGTTAGAGTAGAGTTTCTGGGACCAGTTCTCTTAACAGAACTCAGTTTGGGGACGCTGACACCTGCTGTCTGGTGACACAGCAGGAGGAGCCAGTCTACAGAGGCTGGAGGCTGCATTCTGCTATCTGTCCCGACTTTGTAATGAGCAACAAATTAAGTCACTTTTGTTAAGTCCATGGTCAATGCTTTGTTCACATACTAGCGTGTAGGTTACCTTCATTTAGCCTTCTGGGTATCATCTTTCTCATCCATAACATGGGCCTAGTTGTCAATGCTGATCTCTCCTAAAATCCAGTTCTTGGGATTTGTCTAGCTCTCTTGTCAAGGGACAACTCACTGTTTTTCCTGTTATCCTGTTCCATTCTCTGCCCAGATCTGACCATGTCATACCCAGGTGTAAAACCCAACAAAAGCTTTACTTTGGCACATAGGGTCTTCTTTATTGAAAATGGCATTGTGACAAGCCTGGCAATGCCCACTCCCTTCCATGACCCGAGGCCCTCAGACTTCCTACCCCTCACTGACTGTGTTGTGGCATCCCTGATCCCATACCACCTCTTCCCTCTCCAGCCCAGACAACTCCTGGGCAGCCTGAGAACACCTCCTCCAAGACCCTCTTTCTCACCATGGCTACCACCCTGCACAGCCAAACAATGACCAAGCTCATGTGGTTGCCTGACCCTTCATTCAATATGAACCCCCAGAATTACATTCTTTTCCTGAGTCTTTGTTGTACTTCTAGACTAGGAATACGCTAAAGACGGAGACTCACTTTTTTTCTATAGCTCCAGAAATGAGCAAGAGGCCACAGAAAATGCAGAACTCCAGTTAGTATCTGTTAGATACATAGAGATTAAATATTCAACCCAGACAGATGCACCACATTCTGGTAAAGAAGCTGAGAGTTTCTGTTTCCGCTTGGCTTCAGCTGCAGGCCCGACACATCCTTGCTGAGCCATATGCAGTCCTGCCCCTGCCAGCCCCTTCCTCCACCACCCCCACCCCCGACGCTGATGTGTCCCTGATGTGGTGAGTGCTGGGATTCCCAGCCAGGGCTTGCTCAGTGCCCTGTAGTAGTCAGCAAGATGGGCTGAGACTCCAGCCACTCCCAGCTCCCACCAGCCTCTAAGTATAGCCCAACCGGGCCTAGAGAGAAAGCCACCCAGCACCATTATGACCAGGAACAATAAAAGTCACCAAGTGAAGCAGTCAGGGGCAGAAACTAGAGACAAGCCAGACCAGGAGAAAACCCCTCCATCCTTCCTGTCACAGTGACCCACTGGGATCGGCCCTCAGCTCTCTGCCCGCCTGCACTCCAGTACCTGAAGCCTTCCCCCAGCTTCAGCCATAACAGATTCCAAACAAACAAGTTAGAGGCCCAGGTTATCTCAGGGGGCAGCAGGTCCACAGCCCTCTGCCACCTCTGGCCAGATGCTTTGCATCTATTTGCTGACCTGATTGTTGCTGGAACCCTCTTGGAGTCACCATGTGGCAGACTCTCCAGCAAGGGCCTTGCAAGCACTAACCCCGACTGTTGGACGTGTCTCTCTAGGACACAAGGGTGACACTAGGTGAGACCTCAGGCACCTCAGAGGTGGGGTGGGGACTTAGAATGCCCTTGCTTCAATTCCAAGCACCTTCCTCTGACCTCCAGATCTGTCTACAGAGGGACAAGAGGTTCTTCCTGGATTGCTGGGTGTCGGCATCATTAGATCCCGCAATCAATTCTGGCCAGGGAAGGGCGATATCCCCTGCATCTGCTGACTCCCCTGCGCCTGCCCAGGGATCCTCCTTCCCTCCAGACAGCAGGCCTGGACAGGAAGCCCCACTAGGATTCCCACAGGCACTCACTCTCGCACAGCCGGCGCCGCAGTTTGCCACGGATCTTGTCGATGGCATCGAAGTCGGACACGTGGAAGATGTGGGCAGATTTGGGTTCCGAGGCGATCTCCTCCAGCTCCTCCTTCAGCGCGGCACCCACGCCCACCGCGAAGATGCGGATACCCGCTGCGTGAGCGGCCGCCGCGGCGTCCAGCACCAGATCCTGGCTGCGGCCGTCGGTCAGCAGAATGGCCACCTGCTTCAAGGCACGGTTGCCTGGCCGACCGCCCGCCTGCGGGGAGAAGCTTCGGCCCGTGATGTAGCGCAGGGCGTCGCCAGTGTTGGTGTTGCCGCCGTGGTAAGGGATGCGCCCCGCTGCTGCCCTCACCTCCTCGCGGGAGCTGAAGCGGCCCAGCTCGAAGGCTGTGGTCGGGGCATCACTGTAGCGCACAACGCCCACGCGCGTGCGGTCCGGGCCCACCTCGAAGGTGTCCACCAGGTTGGCTACCCACTGCCGCACCTTTTCAAAGTTTTCCTTGCCCACGCTGGAGGAGGTGTCCAGGAGGAAAACCAGGTCGTAGTGCACGCTTTTGCAGCCTGCAGGAAGGGCCAGAGGAAGAAGGGGCAGAGGACAAACGGGTTATGGAAAGGGCGTGTCCCTGAAGGCCTGGTGCCACAAAGCCCTGTCTCAAAGCCCAACCCGCTCTGCCTCTCCCTGGCGCTGCAGTTAGGAAAGCGAGGCTTTGAAAGTATCTGAGCCTCTGCTTCCTGTTCCGTGGCAAACGTCATGAGCCTTCCCCAAGGTTCGAGATGTTCACTCATGCTGCAGGGTGCTGCATTAAAATGCCTCGCACCCATGGGAGGCCGCTGTGCATCCATCTCTTCGGTTTTACTTTGTTTAAAAAGTAATCATTTTATTATTATTATTTCAACCTACTGCAAACAGTGCATGCCCATTTCAAATACACAGCTGATCAAAAACTGTTTGAAGTGCTCCTTTCCTGTCCACACAGATAAGCACTGTGATATCTCGAGGTATGTCCCCGGGCATGTTTGGTTTCCTTATAGCTACTGATAGAACTGGGACAGTGCCACATTCAGCGATGCCTGAACCCAGCAATGTGCCAGATGCTGGTTTCCAGCCCCAGTATGCTGGCTCCATGGCTGCAGAGTCCACTGTGTGGGTGAAGGCAGTGAATCTCAACCCATGCTCTCCTGCAGGATATTTAAGTAATTTACAAGACTTCCTCATCAGAAGTCATACAAAATTTAAAGTATATTTTAAATGTAAATGAATAAAGGTTTTATGATGTGTTATGAACATGTACTTGCAGTTTTATAACCACCAATTTTATATAAAATATGCAATGGGTTTTTATACCCCAAATAAGGGACCATATCATTCTTCTCATCCTCACAGCAACCCTATGCAGGGCTTACTCATCTATTTTATACCTAGATCGTATGAGGAAAGTGTTTTCTAAACTCCAAAGTGCTGTGCAGACTCGCAGGCATAACTGTCCTGGAAGGTGAGCATAGCCACACCCACAGCTCCCTCTGGAAACAAAGCACAAGCTTGTGGATAGCACAAGGTGGTGCAAAATAAGAGCAAGCTTCTAAAATATCAGGTTGGCACAGGTCACAGGACTGCCAGCTGCCATCAGAGAACGAGAGGAAGGCCTCTGTCTGCTGTATGAGTGGCACTCTGGGAGGCTGAGGTTGAAAGCCCATAGGTTTGAGCCCAGCTTGCAAAACTTAGGGACTTAGTGAGACCCTGTCTCAAAAAAATAAAAAGGGCTGAAATATAACTCAGTGCAAAACCCTGAATTCAACCCCCAGAATTGAGGTAAAAGTGGCTATGGCATATGTTACACCACTCTCTAGGCCTTTAAAACCTCATAAAGGTGGATACCTTCTCTCTACCAATTCCAAATTTAGTGATCTACCCCCCAAAAATTAGAAAAATTGAGGGGAAATAAGATGTTTGTTTAAGAACTATCACAGGGACATGACCAAGAGATCATAGAAATAACCTACACCATCATTCATATGGGATGGCGAATAATAATCACTGCAATGGATTTCTCCAGTGCAATGCTCGGCATCCACCGCAGTGAGAGGACAGCTGTGAAGGAATGCACTTGCCTGTGCAGAGATGTTTTCCAATGCAGTATCAGGGGTGAAAAGCTATCTATAAAACATGCAAGGCAGGACAGAACTGCTGGAAAGAAAACCTTCACTCTGTGTGTGTATGTTTGTGCCTGTGTGTGTATGTCTCTGTGTGTGTGTGTATGTGTGTGTGTGTGTGTGTGTGTGTATACAGTTGTGCAGGCTATCTGTGGGAACAGCTGTGCTTACCTCTGGCAAGCAAAACTATGAATGGATTTCATTATTTGGTATTTTTAGCTTTTATGTCTACAATCAAAAAAGTTCAAACCCAGAAAAAAAAATAGAGCTGTATGTGTTTCCATACATGCACACACATACACACACACACATGCACACGCACATGCACATGGCTCACCTATGACCTGAGGCAATGCTGCTCTTGAATATTCCACATAAAACTCTCCCTCCAGTTTTTAAAATCTAAGTGACAACAAAATCCAGTGCCAGCAGCTGAGTCAGTTCTCAGCCCAGGTAGGACTGTTCTTAACAGGATTAGAGGTTCTGGAGTACGTTGCAACATGTGCAGTCTCAAGGATAATTCCTAGGAGCCTTGACCTTGACATAAAAGTCATCTTTTTGTCCCTGGGACAAAGACGTCCCAGCCTGTCCAGGATAAGGGCTGCTAAAGGGCAGGCAGGGCCCAGCCCGTGGATTGTAATCCTACAGCAAATTTGTTTTAGGGCTGCAGGAGGTTCATTTGCTCAGAAGCCCTCACCAGGGGTGCTCGGAGCTCTAGGCACACTTTCTAGAGGCGGGGGGCAGCCTGGGTTGTGAGCACCTGACTACTAAGTGTGATGGGGGAGAAAGGCTGTGACTTGGGTCTGGGTCCTCTTACTGGAAAGCATCCTGCACTCCTAGCAGGTGCCTACTCCTCCAGGTCACCTTGTTGCACCCTGAGACCATGGCACAAGAGGGCCAGCCCAGGAGCTTTCACCATTGAACCAACTGTGCAGTTGTGGTTAAGTCCATGAGCAGAGATGCCCCCTGTTCCTCATGAGGAAATCTGGATGTCCTTACTTGTTATGCCTGTTCTGCTAGTCCGCCCTGAAGAGCTGAGCATAGGAATGTGTGTGATGGCACTTTGTGTAATCCATAAGGAATAAAGAGATCCTTATTTCTGAGGCCCAGGGAGCAAGCTTCAGTGCTTGCTCCACACTTTCTGTTCTCACTGCCTTGCCCTCTGGGGTCTCGGGTCTCTATCTTAGTTCTCATCTGCAAGAGTGGAATGACATTTTATGCCTTGGATCAAGGAACAGACACTGTCTGCATTCTAGGGGCATCCTCACCGAGGCTCCACCTGCTGTCTCTATGCTGGTTGTCCTGGGTAGAGAGGGGCTCATGTTTTCACCTACCTTCCTGCCTCAGCACTGACTACCACCTCTTCCATGGCAAGGATCCCAAGCAGGACAGAAAAACCATCCTGTCCCAGTGCAGACGCCCTTCCGCAGTCCTCCCATCTCCAGCAAGCATTCCCACTCCCTGGCGGACTCACTAGACAAGTTCCTTTCTTGTCCTTAAGCCTCATGGGCTGGACTCCAATGTGTCCATTCCCCTAAAATGTGTCTAAAGCCTTCATGTGACAGAGTAATGTGCCTTAGGCCCAGCCACAAAGCTGTGCAGCTTCAGGTTCAGAGCTCACTGGTGACTGAGGGAGAAGAGGGTCAGTGTGACCCCATCCTTCAACCTCCCTCTATCCCTGGTGCACCTGCAGTCAAATGCAGACACTGTCTCACACATCACCACACAAATGCACACTTCCACACTCCCTCAAAATCACATACACACTTCCACACATTCACACTCTCACTGACATACTATCACATTCTTACAGCCTGTCTCACACACAGTCTCACACCTGTCACTTCATACACTCATGTTCTCACACACTGTCACACACTCTCACATGCATTACCACACTCACACCACCATACATTATCTTGCTCACATTTTTCATAACTATCACACACACACTCATTTTCTCCCTCACACACACACTCCTGCTGAGCAGCAGGTTCTTACACACTCACGGGTAGAACAGCAGGTGCTACATACACACATACACACAGGTCAGCTGACAGCCTTACACCCAGTCAGCCACAAGCTCCCTGATGGCCCCTCCCACACCTACACTGACAGACACACAGACTTGCACATAGCCAGCTCAGCCCCAGCCAGAGCACACCCTGCGATGCTCACCTGCCCGCTGGGCCTGGCAGCTGCCGCTCTTACTCCACAGCAGCAGTATCCAGAGGAAACAGGCCGCAGCGCTCCATTGGGGGCCCACCATGGCTCCCTTGCCCTTGGAGATGAGCGTGTCTCGGCCAGGAAGAGACCCCAGTGGGGTCTAGAGGAGCATCTCCTGTGTGAAGAACACATCCTTAGAGAAGCATTCCTGAGCAGCGGGCGCCCAAAGCAGGGAGGCAGCCCCATTCCCTACCCAGCCTCTAGGCCCCTCTTCACTCTGCATGCAGCCAATAATGTGACCAACTAGTGAGCAAAACTGAGCGTTCCTACCCTCTGATGACTTAGATCTAAAATGTTCCCCTAGAGTCTTATGTATCCAGAAGTGATACCTAGAGACGTGAAAGGCTCACGAGGTGCTAATCTTACCAGTGTATCCATCTAGTAATGAGTCCATAACCAAAATGTGGTTAGCAAGTGGGGCCCAGCAGAGGAAGAAGGTGGCAGGGGGCACGGCATGCCTCGGAGGGTATGTCCCTCCCCAGACCCTTCCCCTCTCTACCTCCTCCCTTTCTGCCTCCAGAGTGCCATGGACTGAGCAGCTTTCCTCCGCCAGGCACTTCCACCATGAGCTTTCTGAATTGGAGCCAGCAGACCACGGGCCTCTGAAATCATAAGCCAAAATAACCCTCTTCTCCTTTAACTTACAGGTGCCAGATAGTTTGTCCCAGTGACAAGAAAGGTGACAAACAAACTCCTTCACCATGTCTACATCCACCCAATGCCACATCACTGGGGCCAGGTACCCCACAACTGGCCCTACCTGATCCCTTTACAGTGCTATCCAGTCTTTTCCTTACTGCACACTGCTCACAGACCTGCACTGCTCGACCTTTCTGTTATGGGTTATATAACAGGTGCCCCCAGAGCCATGTACTAATCAGTGGGGCTTTTAGAAAATGACAGGATTTTGGGGCATTATGGCTAGCTCCTTAGGAGGTACAGCCTGGTCAGAAGAGATGGGTCATGGGGGCCTGACCTGGAAGGGTGTGTCTCTCTTTCCAGCTCCTTCCTTGACCCTCTCTGCTCTCAGACGGCCATGAGATGAGCAGCTTTCTTTCATCAGAGGCTTCCACTCTGCCACTTCTGCCTGCACCCAGTCAACCACACAAGGACTGAAACTTCTAAACTGCGAGCCAAAACCAACCTCTACTCCTTTAAGTTGAAGGTGTCAGGTGCTGTGTTTCAGCAATGGGGAAAGTGACTAGGACAGTCCCAAACCTTGACTTCACACCTGTCCCCACTGGGCCAGGAGGTGACATTTGGTGGCTGCAGATTTTTGAGTCATTTCCCACAGATGCCAGCCTTGTATCAGCAGCAGCTCTTGCTGCTATGGGACATTTTTCCCTCTGCCTGAAATCCACAGGTCTCTGGTGGTTCTCAGCATGGATACTGTCCTTCCAGAAAGCTTTTCCCAGGCACTTCCCTTACTGGCTGGACAAATCGCTACCCTCAGCTGGCCCTAGCGAACTCTGAGAGAGACTTCTAACAGCAGCAGGCTGTTGCTTGCCCATTTGTTTTATTGTCTGCCCCAGTGAACAGTGGATCCCTGGGGACTGATGGCAGGCTGATCCAACTCAGCACGGATTAGAGCCTCCACACATGCTGAGCCAATATCTGTGAATGAAGGGATCAGATGAAGAACTGTTCAAGGGACCCAGACCACAATGTTTACAGTGAAAGAGAGGTGATCTCAAAAGCAACAGGACAGACAAGTTAGTCTGCTTCACATCATAAGTGAATAATTTTTTAGATTCCAATAAACACAAAAATATCCAGCCAGTGACAAAGGAATAAGTTGAGGAATAAAAACTTACTTACTCAGTCTGCTTTTACAAAGTAGCAGTGTGATGTAAGTATTTACAGTGATCAGCAGAGTGACTGCAGTGGACCAGGAAAAAGCATCCCAGGAACTGGCATGTCCACTACAGCAGGAGCCACACACCACCACCAGGGCCAGGGCCAGCAGGGGACATACAAAGGACAACCACAGGGGAGGGGGAGTGTGTGTGTGTGTGTGTGTGTATGCGCGCGTGCGCGCGCGCACGCGTTGGCACAGCTGTGTGTAGATGTATGTGATTTCTCTCTTTACATTCTTATCACTAACGTTGACTTTTCAGGTTTTCATCAGTGACAATTTATTGCAATTTAAAATGTTCCAGTGAATCACAACAAAACCTCCAAAACCTTAAATTAGCTGTGACAAAAACATCAGCAGGCCTGAGCCCAAAGACAAACCCAGGTGAACATATTTCTGGTTTTCCCCTCATACCTCCGTCACATACATGCACAAATAGCAATGCAAACAGACCAAGCTGAGAGCACATTTGAAAACTTAAGCTCCCAGGTATCCTCGACCTTAGGAGCCCTGCCTCTGCCCACTGGACCTCAAAAGCACCCACTCTCTAGCCAGTGTGCCTGGACACATTCTCCCAGTCTGTGCTGTATGGGTTGCTGTCCCATCCTGAGATGACCATCCCCAAGTTGACCTCTATAATCAATCAATTCTTATACCTCCTTGGGTGGCCAACGACATCTCTATTGTGCAGACAAATAACTGACCTCCCCATGCCAAGTGACCTTCCCTGGGCAGCACTCCTGGCTCAAAAGCCCTGTATCTAAAGATGCATTATTCTTGGAGAAATAGCTCCCTTCTACATGGAGTCCAGATGTCCTTGCTGTATAAGCAACCCTTTGCCTCTGGGGAACCAAGCTAAAGAACTCAAATTCCTCCTACTCTTTACACTTAGCAAAGGCCACTGTATATGTTATTGCCTTTCAGATTCACTTCACCAAACAGAGGCACCATTATCTCATCTCTTCTTACATGTCTTGTGTTACATCTCTCTTGTCTTCTTCAAGGGTGCAGGCTTACGTCTGGGCCTGTGTCAAGGGAGGAGCTAGTCCCCATCCCCTTTCTCTCCTCTGATCCTTTTATGCCTCGCTGGGAAAAGAGTAGCCAATAGAATGGAGTCATGTCCTTACTTGAATTTTAAATATTTGTTTCCATATGACCTGGGGCAGGTCCTGGCCACAGTGCATATGCATGCTGCAGTTACCTGCCTAGGAGCCTGTCTCCCTCAAGGCCTGGGGCTCTTCCCAGGCAAAGAATGGGCTCAAATGGTTTCTCTGTCCTCCCCCCACCCCAGTGACCAGCACAAAACCCAGCCCAGAGCAGATGCTCTGTTAATGCTCATATTTGAGAGGAAGGAAAAAAAAAAAAAAAACCAGAAGAGAAATGCTGATAACTCAATTGTCACAGGGAATACTGAACTCAGAATCTGGACCACTGGCCTGGGCATAGAACTGTCCATGTAGGCTCCTGTCTCTACTTTGAGCAGACTTAGCAATGTGCTGCCTGATCATTTTTTCCACCAGTAGTAAAGATTACCTATGTGTCTGTTACTAATCATAAGGAATATTACATGCCTTCTCCAATAAGTGGGATAAAGTAGCTTTCCCTCTGTCCATTTCCAAAAAGTATGTCATTATTAAAGCCAAGGTTCTAGGCAGGAAAAACAACTTATAGATTTCACCACCATTATATTCCTTTAACAAATATTCACCAGTTTCCCTCCCCCATGCAAGCTGCTAAGGACAGGTAGATACAGGAAGAAGCCCACCCTGGACACCCCTCGCTGATTGCTACATCCAGGTAGCATGAACACTAGGACAAGGCAGGAGCACATGAGCAGTACAGGAACGAAGCAGAGAAGATTAGATCATCTCATCATTTCAAAGAAGGTCAGGCTTCCCAGGTTGCTCCCACTTGCAGTTCAGATGGCTCAGCAGGATTTAGGCAGACCAAAGGTAGGCAGCAACCTCAGAGGCAGTGAGAACTGCAGGGCCCAGTGGAAAGCAGAGCAGGGCACATAGGAAAGCCAGGTGCAGGGCAGGTGTGTGGTGCCTTTCAGGACAGGCACATGAATTTTCTAATCTGATCTCAATCTACTTCTCCTAACAAGGCACTGAAGGTCACCTCCTCACAAGAACACAGAGCATAGGGTTTGCATGAGAATCCACAGAGAACAAGAGCAGGAAGCAGCCACAGGAAGGGGAAAAACTGCCTCAAAATGGAATGTGTAAGAGCAGTGAGATCTGCAGGTTCAAGCATCAGAGGGCCCAGGAAGAGAAGGGACACAGAACCTGAGCCCAAAGAGCTGGTGCATGGCCCTCTCATCCTGAAATGCTGTATGAATGCAGGACTTGTCTGTCTTGTTCATGCCGGTTTTCCAGCATCTAGGAAAGGTCCTAATCCTCAGTAGCACCTCAGGAAATATCAGATTTATGAGTGAATGGTGAATAGCCAGCGTCTGATGTTTTTATGTTATCTCATCATCTTCTGACAGCGGGGAGTCACTCAGTAGATAAACACAAACATCATCAGACAGCTATGAAAGTAAAAGGCTAACTACAGTGTACCCTGTACTTTCTAATCACTACATGATCTCGTTTGACTCTTCAAGGAAGGTACAATCATTTCCAACTGGGGAAGGGAGAGACTGAGATGGAGAGAAGACCTGCCTTTCTCCAGGTCACCCATTTGGTTAGAGGACGGACTGAAATTTGAACCTAAGCATGTTTGGGGCAAAAACTGTGCCTTTTCTACGATATCCATGGATAACAAATCCAAACATTAAAAGCAACTTATGATCCAACACTTTTTGAGAAATAAGAATGATTCGGGCAAGGAGGATAAACTGGTAGCATCTATCCTTGCTTATCAGTATATTTGACAGCGTCTTTGGTTGCAGAAATTGGGCATCACTCATGCTGTATTCTCAACTTTTTAAGAGGAGTTTTTGTTGTATATCTTCCCCAATACATAAAAAGAAAGAAAACTACAGATAAATATCCCTTCTGGACATATATGCCAAACTACCTAGCAAAGATAAGCAAGCCAAACTGAACAACATACCAGGACTTATCTAGGAATTCAAGGGCACCTCAACACAAAAATATCAATTGATGTCATGCACCACATCCATAGAATAAGGAAAGTAAAAACCATCATGATCCTAACTGATATGTAATAAGCATTTGACAAAAAAAAAAAATTAATAAATAAACCCCTCCTCTTGGGGCTGGGGATTTAGCTCAGCGGCAAAGCGCCTGCCT